TCTTGAATGGCAGTGGGCAAAGCTCACTAGGAAAACATAAGTAGCTAGCCTAGTCAGTTGCTCAGTGTTAGAGCATTGCCTCAGACTAAGGTTCTGGTCGATTCTGTCAAGCCATGTATCTTGGTTCAGGTTCCATCCCAGCCCCAGTCGGGGTGCGTGTGGGAGGCAACCAATCGGTGTGTGTCTCTCACATGGATGTTTCTCTCTCTGTGTCTCTACCCTCTCTTCCACTCTCTCTATAAAATCAATAGAAAAAATATCCTTAGGTGAGGATTAACAAAAAAATAATAACAATAAAATAAGTAGAGACTAGACAGATACAGGATTTTCAGGATGCGGATTGGGGAAGTGCCCCAAGCAGGAAAAATTGTGAAGTGTATACAAAGTCTCAAAGATAATGGGTGAGTTCGGCTCTTGAGAAAAGGCCAGCGTGGCCAAAGTGAGAAACAGAATGAGTATAAACGGGGTGGAGGGGTTGCAGATGGGGCCAAACAATGCAGAACCTTTTAGGCTAGGGCAGTGGTCGGCAAACTGCGGCTCACGAGCCACATGTGGCTCTTTGGCCCCTTGAGTGTGGCCACGAAGTTTCAATCGCACTGTTCGTGCGCACCCGCATGTGGTATTTTGTGGAAGAGCCACACTCAAGGGGCTGCAGTTTGCCGACCACTGGGCTAGGGTAAGGAGTGTGCATTTTATCCTAAGTGAAATGGGAACTTATTCATCCTTTTTAATCAGGGGACATGTCTGTCGTGTATTATGATAGATTACCCCAATTGCGGGGCTCAGAGCAGAAGCAGATCAGCAGTTACAGGTATACAGTGACTGGGCAGCCCCAAGTAGTGACTGCGGGGATGAGAGAATAGGACACACTTTAAGTAGGAAACATGCACCCTAGCTGGTTTGGCTCAGTGGACAGAGCATCGCCCTGCAGACTGAAGGGTCCCAGGTTCGATTCCAGTCGTGGGCACATGTCCGGGTTGCGGGCTCAATCCCCAGTGGGGGGCGTGCAGGAGGCAGCCGATCAGTGATTCTCTTTCATCGTTGATGTTTCTATCTCTCTCTCCCTTCCTCTCTGAAATCAATAAAAATATATTTTTTAAAAAGTTTCCTGCTTCTCAATAAGTAAATGGAAGGACCTGAAGAGTATTATGCTAAGCAAAATGAGCCAGTCAGAAAAAGACAAGTAAAAGGAAACATGCTTTGGAGGCGCAACTGACAGGAGCTGCTGTGGGACTGGAGGTAGGTGATGGGGGAGAAGGAAGAATAAAAGACGCTGTTTTCAGGTTTCAGCAGCTGAGAGATGCCCATTACTGACAGAAAAGACTTGCGAAAGGGCAGGTTTCAGTTGGGGGAATCAAGACCTGTTTAAATATTGACTTTAAAATATCTGTGCAACTTCCAAGAAGACACGTAAGGGAGGATGTTGGATCTGTAGTCCAAGGCTCAGAGGGGATGTCCGAGCCAACAATGTAAATTTAACTTCATGGCATCTAGATGGGATTTAAGGTCACAGAGGATGAGATCACTCAGGGAGAAACTGTGAACAGACTTTGTACTTGGTCAGCCTCCTCTGACATGGTGATCCTCTGTGAGTATGACTTATGACAAGGGCAATACCTAAAGGGTCTCCTGTATTTGGCTTTAGGAATTAATGAAATAGCTGCCCCCATGTTGTTACAATAACCTCTTCTTTATAAGAATAGCATTTCAGGCTTCTTGATCTCTTCTTTTCAGCTTTGTTCAAGAAAATGATTTAGGCTTAAGTCTTATCTTTTGTGAACCTGGATTAGCTTATCTCAAGTTTATAGTTACATGACAAAATTCTGGACTTGTTAGGATCCTTGATCTTTAAAGCCTCTCTGCTAAGTCTGCTTAAGGGAATGCAGAATCCTCATCAAACTGCTAAAGACTGTGTAGGCCAAGTTAAAATGCCACAAATCCTACCATCCTTACACAGTAGGCACTGTGCTAAGCACTCTACTTCCAATATCCCATGAGGTTAGAACTATCAGAATCCTATTTTACAGAAGAAGAAACTGAGACTTAAAGATATTAAGGTGGCTTGCTCCAGGGCTCATGGCTTGTAAAGGAAAGTGTTAGTTTATGAACCATAGTCTATAATGAAAAGTGAACCTGTGTTATTAATAATAGCTATGTAATTCATAATAGCTAGGTTTTATCTTAAGTACTTGCTTTTTTACAGCTACTGTAGTCCTGAGGATTATGAACCATAACCTACCTGATTCCAGTCTATTCTCTATTGCTATGCTATATACTACTTTTCATTTGTGAAAAAATAATTCAGAGAAACTAAGTTTAGTTAAAAGTGTAGCTAAATATGAACTCATACAATGGAAATCAATTATAAATAAATTTTATAGAACTCATGCTATACATAAATTATCACTGAGGTCTTTATATACATAAGTCATTCTTACCCATGGTATGTATCTGAATCATGTAGAGCATTTTAAAAACATATCTGCAAGGCCTGGCTGGGGTGGCTCAGTGGTTGAGCATCGACCTATGAACCAGGAGGACATGGTTTGATTCCTGGTCAGGGCACATGCCTGGGTTGTGGGCTCAATCCCCAGTAGGGAGCATGCAAGAGGCAGCTGATCAATGATTCTCTCTGATCACTGATTTTTCTATCTCTCTCTCCCTCTCCCTTCCTCTCTGAAATCAATAAAAATATATTTTAAAAAAAATACACACCAGCAAAACTCTCCTCTCTTCCTGCACCATCCAGGGTGGAACACAAATGATGTCTGCACTTTTCAAAGTTCTGTAGATTCTAACTCCAACCCAGACAAGAACCACTTCAGTAGACTAAAAACTCCTTAAAATTGGTACTATATCAACTATTATATCATCTAATTTCTAAAATAGTTCATGCAGAAAAGATGCTTCTTAGAGAAAAAGGCATAAAGAATTAGAGACTTCGGTTTGAATCTTAGCCCTCTCACTTGTACGACCCAGGAAATGTTAACTTCTCTGAACCTTAGTTTCTTCATCTATAAAGTAAAAGTTTCTTTAAAAAATCTACCCCTTAGAGTTGTTACAATCATAGATAACATACAGTATGCGCTCAACTGGTAGTTGTTCTAATTAATCCTGAAACTGACTAAACAAATATCAGATTTAAAAATGCAGCATAAATACTCAGTGCCACCTCTGGAAAGTACACTCTGTGAAGTCACCTGAGTGAGGACAGTCTTCCAAGAGCTCACAACCCAGTCGGGGACAGGGGCATTCTCTCTAACAAGGAAGCCGTGGTCAGCATTCACAGGGAGGTGGATTTCACGGATCACGGGGAAATGGGGAAAAGAGAAATAACTCTGATGCAGAAATGGTTCTCAAAAGTGCGATGTGAACTGTGCCCTGACAGAAGCATAGTCAGATATGCTCATTGGACCTTATTTCAGGCCAATGGTTCACAAACTTAAACATGCATCAAAGTGACAAGGAGGGCTTGTGAAAACACACAGGGCCCTACCCCAGACTTTCTGACTCAGAAGACCTGGAGCGGGGCCCGAGAATCTGCATTCCCAAGTGACCTGATGCCAATAACCAAGGGAACCCTCTTCGAGAACCATCACTAGAGTGCTTGAGCAGAACTGACAAGTGCTAGCAGCTTTCCCTGGCAGTATCTGGGGTGTGGCTTGTGTGAGTGCTTAAGGACTACGTCAGAAGTCTATGCTCTAGAAATAAAAACCCTTTCTCCATAAAAACACTTTGTCCCCTGATAAGAGGTAGATAAATTTCCCTTCCTGGAAAGGTAAGCTAACTTTCCAGACTAAGTTAAAACTATTTAATTACCTCTTGTAATATGACATTTATCTCTAACCTGTTATTTTTCAACTCCACTAGCTATTTCCTGGATTTGCATAACACAGGTAAACAATAAGGTAATGAGGTGACAGATTTTGAGGTACAAAGCTAATCAAATGCAAAAAGAATAGAAATACAGTATTACTTATACTTTCAAAATGAGAACATAACACTAATACATCCTGAATTTTAATATTTTACTCTGTATGGTATAAGTTAAAATTTTTCAAAAGAACAGTATTGAAAACTATTCAATAGTTTCACTTATAAACTTTAAGGACTCTTCCATACTCACCAAAACCATCAATATCTAGATTATTTTCAATCACAACATCTAGCAGAGAGTCACCAATTTTTCCTTTGGTTGTTAGTATTTCACCGTCACGGTTTAAAAAGTGGACTGTTATTTTATCTTCTGAGCTGAAAAAGGAAGCAGTTCTTTATTAATTATTTTCAAAAAATACTTTAAAATAACTGTTTTAAGAACTGGTAAGGTCAAATTAAAAAAAAAACTTGTAAGGTCAAAGAAACAGTGGTGTGTGTGTGTGTGTGTGTGTGTGTGTGTGTGTGTGTATGCACATGCAAGCAAATGTGCTCTTTTACAGAATTTTCTTTTCTTTCCAAAGTTCATTTGGGAAGAAAATACCATAAATACCAAAAAGGCATATCTATCTGTCCAGCTACCAGGAGAGCTCTACTGCCTGAAAGGAAATGAAAACTAGGCCATGTACTTCCCTATGCATTGTGTCTCCCGAGTGATCATGGTTATGAGTCACAGTCATGTCAAAACATCTAGCAATCATTATCATGAAAGTCTATTTTGCTCTCACACAGCTCTCTGAAAAACAATCTCTATGAACGTGCCCCTAAAGACTAGACCACTGTTGTGGTGAGCTTTGGGAAAGCAAAGCACCCTGCCGTCAATAGGCAATTATGCATATGTCCGGCAGGTACTGTGCTTAAAGGCAGCAGTCTGATAGTTTCCTGAGTATTTGAACATCTCACTCTGGTCTACATTGTGTGCTCAAAAATCAAAGGGACTAGAAAATATTGTTTGTTTGAATCTGTGGGAAGATAAATATACCCCCTTAAGTGCTTTATTATAGGACATTATATTATCTATCAGCCAGCTAACTTAAAAATTGTTTCCCTTCTCACAAACATCAAAACAAAATTTGGAAAAAGAAATTATATAAGTAACTAGATCCTTATCCTCCACCATTATAATTTTTACCTCACAATTGAAAAGATGTACTTCAGCTTAAAATAATTAATTGCAATTTTCACTACTGCCAGCAGATGGTAATAGTCCATATCAAAGAAAACTTGAATATAAGTAAAACCTAGAATTAAATAATTCCAGAGTTATAAATATCTCCCAATTTATCAAATCCTCACAAATGAGACAACTGAAGTACCTATCAGTTAATGGCCTCCCTAATATTCCAACACTGAAAAAAGAGGATTCCATTAATTAAAAATTATATAAAATACTAGAGGCCTGGCCTGTGCCCTCTCGCAATCCGGGACCCCTCGGGGGATGTAGGGGAGCCAGTTTTGGCCCAATCCCTAAAGGCCAGGCTAAGGTACCCCACCGGTGCACGGGCCTCTAGTATGCATATAAGATCTTTGGTTAATCTCTTCCCGCCCTCCCCTCTCCCTCCTTCCCTCTGAGATTCATCGCTCTGTTCCATGTTTCCATGCCTGTGGTTTCCGCTCCTGCGTTAAGCATCTGCCCCCTGGTGGCCAGTGCATGTCACAGCTACCGGCCGGTTAGCCGGTTGCTTAGGCTTTTATATATATAGACTAGAGGCCCAGCGCGCACGAAATCGTGCGCAGCTAGGGTCCCTAGGCCTAGCTGGGCTCTGTCACATGGCCTCTGCCACCCTGCGATGCTACATGAAGCTCCCTGCCCCGGGCGCTCCGGAGCCCTGCAACTGCTCCGCAAGGCTCCCCCGCCCCCAACTGCTCCGGGAACTTGCTGCCCCCTGCAAA